CCTCCAGGTCACACATTTTTGCCTTAGCTCAGGAAGGATGGCTCCAGAGTAAACTAATTTATGCAGAAGCCGAATCGCTCACTCAGAACTTTAATGCCAGTAGCTCACAAAGTAGAATTTTTGCTCACAAGACTCCACAGCTTAGAGGGAACATTGCTCTAAACCCCTAACAGCTGTTTGAAATCCGTTCCACTCACAACCTGCAAAATTGACGATTGCCAAGCCAATCACACCCTTCCAGCTTACAACCCTAGAACCTGCAGGTCACGAAAACATGACCAAACACTCCCTCGCCTATCCTTGGGCGGGTAGAGCTTAGCTTGGGTGCCAAACTGCACATGCGCTTGGCTCTGTACCTCGGGAGTCGTAGTTTAACGGTGCATCTTTCCTTCTGCCTAGTCAGGCAAGGGGAAGCAGGAAGCCAGGCTGAACTACAATGCCCAGAAGGCGTCGCGGTGCAGCGTCCATCCACCCTCCCCATATGAATGACTAATACAACATGTTGTCGGGCTAATGTGCTGCGAGGACTCAGAGGGTTCTCTTCCTTTTTGAGGCTTTTTCTCTTCACTTCAAAGCCCCTTCCCGGACCTGTTGAGAGTTTCAGTGGTTCCTGAAGCTTAAAACAGTCCCCTGCGTAGGGAGCAGCAGAGCTTGCAATGTAAACGGGGGGGGGGGGATCTTTTTATTTCCTGCTTGGTTGAACAGGCAGCACGGAGTTGGTCAAAAGGGGGTTGTTGCCATTGCAATGCGTGGCATGGTGAGTATTGTCAGTCGCCTGGGGCTGGGGGCCACAGCTATGCAAAAGTGGTGGGGTCTCGTCTGTAGGGGGCGGGCAGGGAAGCCCCACCAGAACCTTTCTCCAAAATGATCAGTACGGTGTCAGTGAATGGAAACAAATGGAGAGTAAAGAGAAGAACCTTTGGGATTTCATATTTATTGGCACACGATTTGCTAGAGGGAAAAAGTTTAATGCGGAAAGCAATCTGTTTTGTGCCGTCCCCCCCCCCCCCTTTAAACTTCCTCCATACACTCTCTAGCCTGCTCCGCCTACCTGGAAAACGCTTTTTAAAAGCCTTGTGGTACTTCAAAGAGTAACGAATATATCGTGATATAAACTTTTGCGAGTTGTGAGATACACAGTCAAGCGCTTGGAAATGTTTGGTTTTTAGGTGTTTCTCGCTTGAGGGGAGGCTTCTTTTTTATTTTAATTGCACATTAGCTTTTAAGTAAGAGTTCAGTGGCATATGGTATTAGGGAGACTGGAATTAGAAAAGTTTTCTCGGGCCTGCTTTAGGGCCAGGCTGCTTAAAACTACAAGTTCGAGGACTTGTCCTAAAGACACGTAATTGCTCTTCTAATTATGTTATCTTCTCCCTCCCGCCAACCCTTTAACAAGAAACGTAATTGTTTTGCCAGGCAAAGGAAGGGTGGTTTGTATTGCTGGTGACTTTCCAGTAAGAGGGAGCGTTTCTGAACTTTATCATTACTTAGACCAGTGCACATGGTTCAATTCAGGTTACCATTTACCCTGTATGGATCATTATTCTAGCAAGCAGTGTTACTACTTATTCATGTGTATTAATTAGCAATGGTTGGGCTTGTAAGAGATTGTTTTTACGGGCAACCTTTGTTGAAAACATGGAATAGTGTTTCCCTTTTTTTGTGTCGGTACCAATGTCGGGTCCACAAGAAGCTCAAGGCCTCATTCCTAACTCCAGAGTAACTTTGCTGTTGTAAATACATGGCCCGGATTCTACTGAAAATAGTTGAATAATAAGTTTAACAGTTAAAAGAATGTCCTTAAGGTGTTTTCTGAGAAATTCTACCTTTTGACAATAGTATTTTCTTAGTGAGAGCATGGCTCAAAACTGCTGTAGGTGCTTTGACTAAACAAAGAAACAAAAATGAGTAGATTGGAGTCCCATGTGTTCCAAATCCCACTGCAATGTGCTATCATGTCTAAAAGTTGGTTTTTATCTCCACTGCAAATGTGTAGTGTGGTTATGATGCAGGTCATGTGACTATTGGGGGTCCATTTTGCTGCAGTCAGCTAAAAAAAGGTCTGCAGTGGTGTGAAGAAGCTTGCCCAGTTTGTGTAGGGAGGAAGTGTATGCTAAAACCTACCCATGTGGTCCAATTTAAGTAACATTAGCCCCTGCCACAAGGGGGGAAATTGATGCGGGCAAAGTGCGGCTTTTGAAAGCCGCACCAAAAGAGACACGCGGCGGCGGGATCACACAGATCCCATGAGCCGCTGCGCAGTTGCTCCCCGGCACGATCAGATGCCGGGGAGAAAGCCACGGAAGGGAGCGCAAGGCCGCTGGCTGCGCATGTGTGCGCACGGGCAGTTTGGCTGGGAGCCTCAATTGCTCCTGCAGACAGCCACGCCGGCGATCCGACGGCTGCGCTTGCTGCGGCGTTTTAGGTAAGTCCTGCTCTGTAGCAGGTTCTTTTTTGATACGCATTTTCGCCCTGAAAGGCCGGATCGAGGACGGGTGCGCGCCGCTTCCCAGATGTTGCGGTGAGATCGCACCCGCTTGCTGTGCCCCCGATCCGTCCCTCTCCCGGGCCAAAACCTTCCGTGTGACCGGGACCATTAGAAGCCTTCTACAAGGCAGACTACAATATCTTTAACTTGTAATACATTTCCATTTGGATTTTCATCAGGAGTACCAAGCTCCATTGGACTGACAATAGAGGCATCCATGTGCTGGTAATAACGAATAGGTCCTGAAAACATTATCTTTATTGGAAGTAAATCCCATGGAGTTCAACAGGGCTTGTTCTTTAGTGAGTAGGCTTAGGGCTGCACTGGTAGATTACTTTAGGGTCCTTGACTAGCCCACTGACCACTCAAGTGTGGTAGTTTGTCACCATTATTTATAATGGCTGAGACTAACTGAAGGTTTTGTTTTGATCAGCCAAGAATGGAATGATGCACTAGCCAGCCACAGCTAGTGGACACAGTGGAAATCACAGATGTCTGTAGTTTGTAAGTGGCTGGTGAGTTAGTCTGGAGGCCAAGTTAACTTTATCTGCCAGCCTGCTGTATGGAAACCTCTCCAGCTGTGGTGCCCACAACACAGGGTTCACAGAATATTTCACATTTGTATGAGTTGACACCAGACATTCACAGGACTAAAAACATTTCAAGTTCCTAGGCATAATTATAATGTTCTTTTAATTCTACTTCTGTTCATCTTCTTGCACAAAAGTAATATTATGCTATGCTTTACTCAAAAGCCACAGTTTGGCCATTCATGCTATATTGTTTAGGATTTTTAGGATTCTCAGGATTCTGCACATTATATTGATTAGCATGTAATGCTAAACATGTCTCTCTTGTGTAGTGAACACCATGTGCTGTACACAGCAGGGAGCTTCCATTGACCTAAACTCCTTGCCACTGTGTAAATAGTGAAAAAGGGGTATCTATCTTGCCTACTATGGGATATACATCTAGTGTTCACATTCAGTCTGTAATGTGTGGTCTTCACTCTCCTCCTCTTTACATCATAAATTTATTTAGAAAAAGAGTTAAGTTCAGGAGGTTTCACAATAACTGGCAAGCACATTAAATAAGTACATTGTGATTGTGCTGAGCTGGAAAGATCAGCCAGACTGATGGGAAGTAGGCTTCTAAGGCCAAGAAGTTGGTCTGATTCCCCCCCCCCCCCCCTTATGTT